AAACAACAAACAATAATAATTATTCAATCGATCATCATCATCAGTCGCATGTGCTAGATCATTTGTCTATAAAAAGAAATCTTTTACCCATTTTAACCATTAGATAGCCTGGAAAGGATTAACCTTTAATTATGCTAATGGTAAAATTGAAACAAATTGTCTGTTATTCAATAAAATCACATTTATTGAAATCCTTTGGTTTGATATTCGAATGAAAAGTTTTTCTAAAAAGTTATAAATTACCTCAAAAATTACCTTTCCATCTCGAATATAATGACGAACTAAATGAATGAAGAAAACCAAAAGATTCCAGAAAAAAGAAACCTGACGATCATTTCGTAATTTGATTCGATCGGTTTCAATCAAAAATCTCTTGAAATTCCTTCTAAATATTTGCGTCTATTTTTTATGAAAAATGTTCAAATAGTTTTTTTTCTTAGTAGTTGAATTTGATAAATTTATCAATTTTCATTTTTCCGCGTGTCGCTTTGTGCTATTTTCTTGTGTTTTTTTTTTTGTTGTTCTTTTCATCATTTGGTTGCCATTTATCCTTTGAGAATTTATGTGTCTTTCTTTTTTTTATGAAATGGATGATATCCATATTGCAAACGCGTAACAGAAGCCAAAATCGGCAATGAAGAAACGGCAAGAAATTCCGACAAAGAGAATCGACAACCCGAAAAAAGCCACATCAATAGAAATATACAGGCAAAGGCACATCATCAACCAACACTGTGGCCATTGTTGTACATTGTTATAGCTACATGTTGCAATTCAGTTATAAACAATCATTTCAATAGAAATTGAATTTAAACAATAAATGATGCTACAACAATAAATTAGTTGACATCTTCATTGCTAAAGCGACTGTGTCGCTCACACTACTTATGACACTATGACATGTTAGTTTTCTCTGTTCTTCTTCTTTTTTTTAACACTATCAATAATTCGCATAAATCGATGAGAGAATTCTCCCTCGTCATAGTCTTGTCTTTATGAGTCCTTGTTCGCAATGCGGTGCGCATAAAGCATAACCGAATAAAAAAAAAACGCACGAGAAAAAAAGTCACTTTGAAAAGATTGCATTGCCGATTGAAATTGCCGAAAATAAAAGATCAGTGTTCTAATGAAGAAAATGAACATTATCACCAATAACTGAAGAAACTTGAAACGAATGAAGGGAATACAATGATGATGAAAAAAAGTGCCGACACGCTCTGTTATCCATTTCATAGTGCACTAAAAGGCGAAATCGTTCAGTTCTCTTTTTTCTCTCTCTATTGCTCCTTCTCCTTGCCTTGTTTCACACAAAACCATTGTTTTTTCTTTTGAGAAGCGGCTACTACCGATATATTTATACAAAGATAGAGGATTCTTCTGATTTATTTATCTATTGATCCACTGCCATCGTTTGTCACTGTTTTACTGTTTTATTTTTTATTTTTTTGGCAAGTTTTGTCGTTCCCAAAACAAGATCGGTATGACTTGATCATTATTCTGCACGTAGTTTGAATGAAAAAAAAAATATTGTTGCCTTTTTTATGTTCTGCATGACAATGAACAAATAAGATGAGACACATAAAACCGATGATCGTTTCCATTTATCTCTTTGCCAACAATCAACCATAGATTTCAATGGTAACATAAAAATTGACCGAATTTTTTTTTTCAGTTTCAAAGAAGACCATCATAAACTGAAAGAAAGACAAAAACGAAAATACAAATCGATAATAATTTTCATTTATTTAAAGCAAGAAAGACACGAATCGTAAAGGAATCTTAAAGGAAGTTCTGGCAGACAAACTGTCCCGAACACGATCAAACGATGTGTTTATAAATTGATATGAAAAAGGTATGCCATCGAAAAGGATCAATAGAGGCGTAACAGATACCCGTGAAAATTGAATTGCTAGCACAAATCGAAATGCGACCAATATCGAACAATGTATTAAAGTGTCATTTAGTTGTCTTCAAATTATGCGTATAAATTTTTTTTTCTCTCGTACCAATTGGAAAATGTTTTAAAGCTACTTAAACGATGGCCATAGAGTTTGAGATGTCAAGCATTCCATGAAATAAAAATATGTGGTACCATTGACAACCGGAACCAATTTCATATTTCAGAATCTCATTGAAACAAGTAATAAAATAGTTTATATGGAGACGATTCTTTGTGCAATTGTTTAGATATTTTAAACGAAACCATAACGAATATATGGTGCATACAAAAATCTTTTCATGGAAAATCACATATTTTCCTTTTTCAAAGTCTTTGAGTAAAAAAATGTCTCAATTAAGTGCATCCAATGAGATCGACCGCTGATTCGATTTGTTCTCCAGATTGTTTGTGTGTGCTGTAACCGCAAAATATATCGTACATCGATTTTTCACTTAGCTCAAAGACGCACGTTTTCGCAAATGATTTTTCTTTTATCATATCCTTCATTCTTTCTCTCCTCTCTCTCTCTCTCGTTTACTTTTGACGAAAACGGTTCACAAATCGATGCCATTTCATATTTCAATAATAAAAACTGATGCGTTTGTTTGCCATTCTTCGATTTAATTCAATTGTTGCTGACCCCATTGGTATTGAAATGTACGACAACTCATCGTATCGTTATAATAACCACCTATTCAGCATCAAAACACCAATATATACCATCCCCTTCTTTATTATCATCTTTCTCATCATCTCTTCATAACTTTCACCATGATGTCGTTTCTGACGTCACAGTGATTGTCAAAAGAATGTAATAAAAATCAACGACGAAATGAACTAAATTCACGCGAAATATACAATAACACATCACCATAGGTGATTCGTTGTCTTTTCTTTTCAATATTTATTGCGAGTAAAAAGTCTTCGCATGAGTGCACCTAGTTAGCAGCGCTAACTTAGCACAACAACATTGACGTTTTGATTCGAATTATAGCGGTGCCTTTTGTTCTGTCAATTCCTTCAGTACAATGTTAATCCATGGAGCGGCAATCGAGTTTTGTTGGTCGATTTTACAAATGGTCACACTCAGTTGACATTGAACCCCATCAAAACAATGGAACAAAAAAAAATCTTACGAATAGATATATCGTAGCATTTACATTTAAAACGCTCGGTAAATGTAGGTGCCAAAAGAATAGAAAAATATCTTTAAACTGCATTGACTAAAAGCGGGAGAGTAAGGAATTAATTTATCCCACACACGCACTCTGTCAATATTTCTTCGAAAGAATAGCGCGACAGATAGATGTAGATATTGTATCCGAGGTGGAAATATCTATTGCGCATGTGCGTCGAACGCGATGAAAGCACTATTTTTCAATTATGTTCTCTCTTACTTTCTCTCTCTCTATCCACATTATATTCTCACGTTCAGCACTTTCCATTCATAATATCGGTTGGGGGCAACTTTTTTTTCCCTTTTGATATAAACCATAAATTCGCTTTTCAAGTCGGTTTGCCCTGTTTGTATAATTTGTAGATTGTAAAAAAACGAGTGTAGTGTGGTAAAGAGAAAAAAACACACACACACGCCAATAATATCTCGATTTTGGCCTACAAAACGCGTGACCACGGTCAAAATTTTCTCGTTTGGATTCAGATAGTGGTTCGTTTTTGTTTGGGTTTCTTAATTCAAGACTTTAGTTTGAACAGTGTTCAAAAAATAAAAAAATAAATCCCATAAAACACAAGGTGAACAGTTTTTTTTAATGAAAATTTATTTGTTTTTTTTTTTTTGGTTCGTGGATTTGATTTTTTCCCACTGGTCAAGTGTTTGATAATTTCCAATTTTTCTTCCTTAATTCAGTGAGCGATAATCGAGATTAGTGGGCGATTTCTATGTGAATGTTATCAAACTGAGATTTTCCATTATATTATTTCGAAAAGCTCAAGTGCACATCTTGTAATTTTCGAGAAATTCGGATTAAGGCATAAGTTACCTGTGAAAAGTGATTTCTTCTCTTTTTTTAAAAAATAAATCCATCATGATTTTCATGGCCTGATGCAATTCTAATTGAATCATGACATTTCATAACATTTTTCATTTCTTCCTCAATCCATTATTGTTCATGTACCTTTTTTGGTGTAATTTTACAGTTTTTTTCTTGATCGAAAAACCCACAGAATAAAAATTTCTGCCAACACATACATGCCTACTCGACTGTACGCACTCCATCCGAATCGATGAGGCCCGTGTATTAGTTGGCTAGTATGTGTGTGTGTGTGTGTACGAATGTAGTATGTGTATACGAGTCGCTTTTACAATAGAAAATAACATGGCTTAAATGGTAGCATACATTCGGTATATTGGAAAATCGATTGCTTGTTTTGTATCTATAATTCTACATACATTTTGTTGAGTATACTATAACCGAGTTCGTTGTCAGTTTGCACAAAAAGAAGCTTCACACAATCTTTTTATTATTATATAATTATTTTCAAATTAAAATATACAACCTGTGGTAAATGCTACACCAATTACATTGTTTGCGCCCCTCCCCCCTCCACTCCAAAGCCTCACTGGAAAAATTTAATCCACTCATTAAAATTAAATTGAATGTCACCCGCATTATAAAATCATTTGAAAAGAGAGAAAAACAATATTTCGAGAAAAAAGTGTCTCGTGCACATGCAATATAGCATATATCACCAATCCACATTCATAATACAAATATATGGATCTCGCATGCTATTCTCATTGAAGCGTGCTTCATTATCAATTCGAATTTATTCAATTTAAAAATAAAATTAACACGTTAACCACAAACAAAACATTTATAATTGATGATTTTAATCGATGTTCGTTGAATAGAGCTTTAATACCTTGATGTTATTATTTTATTTTGTTTTATTTAACATTAAAATAATAAATGTTAATCGGAAAACGATTTGTTGTTGTTGCAATTTTCTTCAGAAACTTGAATAAAAATGCGGCGAAGAGCACGGCGTGGGCGTATGTTCATCTTAGGACTTCTATTTATCATGTATAGTGCCATAAATGTTTACTCATCTAGTGACACTGGCAGCGGCTCATCAAACTCACCACGACCGGACATCGAACAAAATGATCCATCATCTACCTTGCTGCCGAAATCAACAATCGATGATGTGACCGCATTTGGATCCACGGAATCAACACAATCTACAACGGGCAGACGTAAATACATTTAATACACACATCTTTTGTCACATTATTTAGCTAACCATGTTTTTTTTTTGCTCTGATCAGTCAGATTGACCCAAATTGCATGCACAGAAAAAGTTAAACAAATGAGTTTTTAATTAGAAAACATTGAATATTGTTAGATTTTATCAAAGCTAAGAATTTTAATCAACACATAGAGCGGTGTTGGCCTCTTTTACTTATAGGCCATTCATGTTAAAAATGTAGACAAATAAGATTGATCTTTGAAAGCATCAATGAACATGCAGTTTAAAATTTTAATGCAACACTAAATTGGATTCTTAAGTTTCTTAAATTCAGAAAAACCATTTATTAATTACCAATATTTTATCATAGATTCAATCGATAATTTACTAATTAGTCAATTACTGATTTTTGCCATCAATTTAAAACGAAAGTGAAACTAAGTGTTTTTTTCTCGAATGGATCATTGAAATATTAACATAACATTTTTTGAATTTGCCGATGATTTTGTAGTTAACGAAACCGATTCTTTATCATAGAACGTATCATTTATTGCGAAACGAGTGTTATTTCAGTTCAAAAAACATAACATGAGCGAAATAAATTAGGGGGTAGACACGTGGAATAGGATTAGACTTTTATTGTAAAGATTCGAGAAATTGCAATGAAATAGTAACGTCTGTGAATGGATTCGCGTTGAATAGCGATACAGTACATGGAATAGCAAAAATTGTTTCACTTCAAATCCATTTGACATTTCTTTTGACGTTTATTGATGGATTAGTGGAATAGTGCGGAATAGCAGAATTAGCGTTTTTGACGGAAAAGGTGCATGGAATAGGAAAAATAGTTTCGATTTCACATTTGTGTTTTTGGATAAGTGGAATAGCTGGATTAGTAATGTATATAGTGGATTTGGAATTTATTCTTTGTGTCTCCCCCCTAGGAAATAAATGTGTTGAACAAGGTGAAAGGCATCTTTAGGGTAGATCACACTTCAACCTTACATTCAAAACTTTCACTTCTAAATCTTCAAGTCAATATATCTGAAATAAAAGTACACTCTCCGACCAAAAGTCATAAACTAAAGTTCTGGGATGGGCCGATGAATCTAGAAAGAATCTCGTTTCAATCATTAAACATTGACAGAATGCTTAGTCGAACACTGCGAATCAAATCGAATTGTCCAACTTAGTGTAAAATTGTTTTATATATTGCTATGTCTACTTCACACAACGAATGAATGTTTGTTTGTTTGACACTATTCAGCTGTTCATGTGTCTTGTAACTGACGTACGTTTGGTGTTATTGTTGATATTAATGTTTATGTAAATTATTTGCAGCAACCACAACATCGACACAAACTCCAAATGGTCGTCCAACATTACGACCAAAACGATGGAATTGCACACCACCGGCGATTGAACAATTTCCACCACCGCTATTACCATCATGGTTTCGTGAAAAGGGCGGCCTAATTATACACGTTCTGATCGCTATCTTTACATTCTTGGGATTAGCTATCGTTTGTGACGATTACTTTGTATCGAGTTTGGATCGAATTTGTGAGGAATTACGGTTATCGCCTGACGTTGCCGGTGCGACGTTTATGGCCGCGGGTAGTTCGGCACCTGAACTTGGAACGGTTATCATTGGCGTTTTTTTTGCAAAGGATGATATTGGTGTGAGCGGTGTTATCGGTTCGGCCGTATTTAATATTATGTTTGTCATATCAGTATGCGCTTTATTTTCGGGAACCGTATGCCATTTGAATTGGTGGCCATTGGTCAGAGATTGCTTCTTCTATTCGCTTTCAATAATCGTTATGCTCATCATCATGTTAAACGATTATATATCATGGGTGAGTGTTTAATTAAATAATAATAATTATTTGAAATGCGTGTCAAATATATCAAATAAAATCTAATTTAAATTCGTTCGCCTATCGTTTGGTTTAGTACGAGGCTTTAATCATGATACTTTTCTATGTGCTCTACTGTGTGGCATTGCATTTTAATAGTGCATTAGAACGATGGGCATATTCACTGAAATTGCCAATTAAATTGCCAACGAAAGAGGAACAATCAGCTTTAGTAACATTTAAAAATGTATCCGATCAAAATTATTCGGTTGAAGCAGCGAATGGAAGTCCTGAACAACAAGCAACGAGCCCTGATCAACAGCCACAGCAGCAACCGCAACAACAACAGCAACAAAATTATCAAGGCTACGGAACAGAGTAATCTTTTTTCTTTGCGTTTCTTGTTTGTCAATAATGTAGTCTAGAGACTACTAAATGAATGCTTGTTTGATGGTTTGTCTTGTGTTTTGACTTTTGCGTGACCCCGCTACTCTCTACTAATCTGTATTAAAACCACCTTGTTTCTATTCCATTTAGTTGGTATCGACATGTGCTTTTCGAAAGAAAAGAAAAACCGTCTCACTATTTATATTATTCCCAAAGTGAATGCTTTCAATGTTATATTTCCAGTATTGTTATACAACAATATAGTTGTTAAAACATTAATTCAATTTGAAATGAACTAACACACATTTTCTTTATGCGTTTTTTTGTTTCTCTTTTTTTTTGTCCATTGTGTACTACATTGTGCACTGTAAATATTTTCGTTGAATTTATATAGTTGGGATCCAAATGCAGCCTGGGATGATGGCCAAGGAAATGCACCGTCACAAACTTCGAATCTGGCACAAAATGCCGGTGGCTACGGTGTAACAGATTCATGGAATCCTGATGCATCTTGGGGTCAAGGCCAACAAAATTATGCATACACTGCCGCTACGGGTGATCAAACTGATCAAATGAATTCAACAAATGGTGAAGCCGATGCAACAGCATCCACACAAAATACACCACAAAATAAAGTCGGTGCGCTACCAGCTCCTGAATTTTATAAATCAAAAGACCCAAAAGCATCACAAATGTTAGTCGATCCATTGATTCGGCCCACCGAAGGTGGAGCCATCGCACTTATCACATGGCGCGTATGCTATCCAATTCATTATTTATGCCAGAAAACTGTTCCCGATTGCCGAACCGAAAAATATCGCAACTGGTATGGATTCACCTTTATCATATCAATGCTATGGATTTCATTCTACTCATATCTTATGGTAATTGATTGTATTTCGTACATTTTTTTTTAAATGTAAACATTGTATCAATTCATTAATTATAATGTTCAACATGTAACATTCATAGGTTTGGATGATCACCATAATCGGCACAACTCTTGGAATTCCTGACACAGTGATGGGTTCGATATGATTTTTTCTCCTCTTTTGAATATTTTCGATTTGAATTATGATTTTGAGCAAAAATAAAATGTATTCATTCTTCTCGATAGGTCTTACTTTCGTAGCGGCAGGTGTATCGATTCCAGATGCATTAAGTTCTATGGCTGTTATCAAAGAAGGATATGGTGATATGGCTGTTTCGAATGCTGTTGGTTCAAATGTATTTGACATTCTGATCTGTCTTGGATTACCATGGCTTATACAAACAACGATAATTGATGCTGGCGGTCATGTGAATGTCATTTCAAAAGGTTGGCATTTAAATTTCAATTTAGTACTATTCACTCCTCCAAATACTCAATAAATCATCGCTTCACTTTCCTTATCATGATTTCGATAGAAAACTAATTCGATTTAATTCGTTTTAATATTTTTTTGCACAGGTTTAACATATTCGACATTATCGTTATTGTCGACAGTGGTGTTTCTGCTCTTGTCAGTGCATTTGAATGGATGGAAGCTTGACAGACGTCTTGGTGCCATTTTAATGGTATGGTACTTTTTATTCATTGCACTAGCATCGATGTATGAGCTCAATGTTTTCGGCAATTTCAATCCGCCACAATGCCCAAGTAAGTATTTTGTTTTTGCATCACATTGATTTTATTTAAAATGAACTAAATAAAATGCATTATACCGTGAACTCAGGTGATTATTAAGATCGTAGCCAGTTTGTTGCTGCCAATATATAACCAGCGCAAAGCAGTTTTAATATTATTATTCCTTTTTGTGCGTGTGTGTGTGTTTTTGGTTATACCGTATCAAAAGCAGCAGAAATGTATCAATACCATTGAACATCATTGTTATTCGCTGCGAACAGTACTTATAAATATACAATATTTTCTTCACATCGACACACACACACATTATAAATGCTACATTACAAAAACGATAAAAAAAGAAATGATGGAGATCATACTGGAAAGCAGTTTAAAGGTCATGAAGATCACAATCGGTTTGATATTGAATGGTTTATCAAAAGAGCAAAAGTGAAGATATATTCTGAAACCTGATAAATATTTGTATATAAGATATGCAAAGACAATTAATATGAAGTTCAATTATTTAAAACTATATCGAAAGACAGACAAAGAGTAAGTGAGAGGAGAAAGATAGAAGAAAAACAACAACAATTCTATTGAAAATATATATTGAAGTGGGTTACAATGCAAGTAACGAATCATAATATTATATGAAGTGTTAACGTATATATTTTTCGATAAAGTTCTGACCAAACTGATATATTCGAATTATAAATTGAGAGCAAACGAAGAAGAAAAAGAAAATTGTAAAGAAACCAAAGAAAAAACACAGCGAATACAAACACATAGACACCATATAAATCATAAAATAAATTAAAAGATAGCAAACGACTTGAAAACATAATTATTCAAAAAAAAAACTTTTATGCGGAATCCAGTTGTCCTTTCGATATAGAAAAACAAGTAAATACCTGTAAATATCCTCAGTACTTGCTAGAATCGCAAAAAAAAGAATATTATTCTATGCATGCTTCCACGCGTGTTCAACAGAAACACATACACATTTTAAAATAAAACCAATGCCACAATCAATACTGTACAATTGCTCTTGGTCTTCTTTCAATATTGCAAAACTATATATATATATATATTATATATTTATTCTGATGAAATTATCATAAATATCATTTAATTATAAATATTAAACAAACAAAGAATCTATACAACTATATTTAATGAAGATAGAAATGAGATATAAATGAGTAAAGAAGAAATGACATTTTAAAAACCATTTATTCTATGTAACTTGACATATTCTTTGATTGTGATATGTGTTAACGTTTTGAAGACAATATCAAGTCACAATTTTGTTGTCACAGTGTGAATCCTTTACCGTTGAAATCATTGGCCATATACGTTTTCAGTTTTTGAGTATTCAAATTCTCTGAGATCAAAAATGATTCCTTTCTTCTTCAACGCAAATTAAATTCAACAACAAAAAAAAAAATAAATAAATAACGAATTGAAATCAGCGAAATAAAAATTAGAAACAGAAACATATTTTATAAAGATGCATTGTATGGCGCTAAAAAACGTATGAATGGGGTAGAATAAAAACTACTTCTCGAAAAATTGCTATTTTAAAACGAAACCTAAAAAAAATTCCAATAAAAAGTGAATCAATTTTTTTTTGTCCAATTGAAGTGAATCAA